ACAGATGTTCCTGGACCACACAGCCCAGGAAAAAGAAGGACTATCCGTGGGGTAGGAGTGCGGTGGGAGTGGGGTGAGGGAGGGGGAGGCAACTCAGACGGGAGCCTCGTGTGGGGGAGGAGGGAGGGAGAGCAGTACAGCAGGGAGATCAGGCCTCAGCAGCTGGGTGATAGCAGGGGGCTGGCAGCTGCCACGCAGCTCCAGCCCCAGCTGTGCAGCTCCAGCCCTGGCAGCAGCCAGGAAGCTCCAACTCTGGATTCAGAGCTCTAGCCCTGGTCAAACAGCCTCAAGTTGCTTTCAGCCTAAAACACTAAAATACATGCAACAGATACATCTATACAGTAAGCAGCAGCAGCAAGTCACAGAGACGAGGTAACAGACTGGGGCTTGCATTACAATGCTAAATAGCTATACTGACACTGAGGCTCAGGATCCAAAGCTGAGGGATGGGTTGAGCTTCTGAGATTCGCTGTTATAGGCTGTGTAGATGTACTCAACAATACAGAAGGATAATATGAAATTATCTATGAATGAATATAGAAGCCAGCGGACAGAGCAACAAAACTCAGATCAGAGCATTTTTAATCATATCTCCCATATAAGATCAGATGAGATGCCACTGCCTTTTTTCAGATTATGCACCAATGCAAAATAACATGGCTCTTTTTCCAAAACTGATCAATGGCTGACCTGTTTCTTGTCTTTTCAGGTTAATGAGAAGATGGAACAAAAGAGTCCACTTAGAAACTGCATATTTGAAGCCTGCTTGAGAACGTACTGATATTAAGGCTGTCAAAACTGTTCCACACTATGGCACTTTGCGCGCAGAAGGTGGGAGCTCAAAAGAGTCTTTGAAATACCCTGTCACTAAAGACTTGTCTGTTTAAAATCTCCCCAAGATCACAGATTCCCCCACCTTGGATGGTAAGCTGCATTGCTGCCACCATCCAAATGCAAAAAAACAAGGAAGACACATTTGGGAATTTCTACCCGTGGGGTACTCTCAAGCTCTTTAACCCTCCCTCTGGAGGCAGCTTAGAAAAAAAAATGTAAATCCCATAATAACTGATCTTGCAGTCTTAAGAACATGCACACGGAGCCTCCTGTCTTCTAGGACACAGGAATCACATCCAGGACTTAAACAGGTGATTTCTATTAATAAAACAAAGCAAACATGCTTGGTAAAACATTACTTGGTTGCTAGATGTTACAGAGCAACTGAAAAAAGATTAAAAGAACAGCACATTGCTTCCCTGGGATTCAATTTAAAAGTTACAGTGTATGGAGGGGTGGGGGGGAAGTAGGGCATAATATATGGGTTCAGCACAAAGAAGTCCAATAAACCCAAACATAAAAAAAATAACCTGATCGTGTTTTACATTCACTGATTTACTCACATATCAGTTGTTCCAAGGTTTAGTCCTTCCCTAAGCATGGATGTCACTGGATTCTCCAGGCTTTGCTTCCGGACTTAATTCATATCTGTCCAGCTCTCCTCGGCTGACACAATGAAAGGTCCTGCTTCCAATTAAAAATCACACCTTCAGTTTTTATTGGCTCATCTGGCTTCCTGCCAACACTTCCTGCTTTCCTGCAGGCAATTCAATTACTGCATGGCTGGGATATCCAGAAAAGGGTAGTACCCCTCCCATTCATCAGAAAAGCGCCATTCACAAATCCTTTGTTTTAATCTATGTAAATGGCCTATAACAGTCACATGTAGCCTGCCATGATAGTATTAGTTATTAGTCAGCTATTTTTTAAATAAAATTATTACACAAAGCATATCGTATCCAAAGGTCTATGCTATATTTCCCCTAGCTTTCCACTCACCTTCCTATTTTCTTATATATTATAATCATGTACTATTATATGACTTAACTGGCATTGCCAGTGTCCTTCAGAGAAGGGGGCTGGCGGTGTGGGCAGTACAGGAGTCAGGGCAGGGCAGGGCCTTGGGGATGTGGGGACCTCAGGGCAGGAGGCTGGGGATGTAGGAGGGTATGAGAGTGAGGGAAGGGTGTGAGGAGGGGTTCAGGGCAAGAGGTAGCAGTGGCTGCTGACTTCACCCTGACTTCAGCATGGGGTAGTGCACCTTGCCAGCTGGCTTGTTCCCCTGGAGCCAGTGGGGGTATCTCTCTCCCCCTGGCCACTCCCGGGACAGGGGAGCTCCCTTCCTTCCCCTTAGGCCACCCCGGGGCAGGAGGGGTTCTCTCCATGCCCTCTGGCCACTCCCAGAAGACGGGAAGCTCTTTCTCTCCCTCCTGGCCTGGCCCAAGAGGGGGCTCTCTCCTTCCCCCCTGGCCCGGGGCAGAAGGTGCTCTCTCTCTCCCTCTGGTCCTTCCTGTGGCAGACTCTCTCCTTCTGCTCAGCCCCTCCTGGGTTGGGGGTCTCTCTCCCAGGTAGGGATGGCTGACAGGGGCTGACTCCCAGGGAGGGCCCCACTTATCTTTTCTGGTGGCAGGCAAAATGATAGAGCTCCAGTCCTGCTGGCCACTCTCTTGGTCAGGGGTGGGCAAGATACAGCCTGTGGGCCAGATCCAGCCTGCCAAGCCATTTGATCTGGTCCACAGCCCACCCTGGCACTCCCCCGCCCCCAGACCAATCCAGACCCGAGGACAGGTGAGTGCGTGAAGTCATTCACTATTCAAAGTGGCTTGTGACTTCCTCCCCTACTAGGGGCGCATGGCATCTAGGGGGAGCCACCACAATGACTTCATACTCTTCCTCGCCCTCAGATCCTAATTGGCCTGGGAGCAAGGGAGCACACAACGTCTCCTCCCCCACCAGGGGTGCGTGGGGCCTTCAGGAAACTGTCGCTTTCCACCTGAGGCCCATCTCTTCTGCGTAAGGCCCTGCCCATTCAGGGGCAGAGCCAGCCCACAACTGCCTATCAAAATTTGTGATGTGGCCCCCCTGAAAAAATTATTGCCCACCCCTGTCCTTGGTGGTATGGCTGCTGCCATGGACACTCATGGGATAGCTCTCCCCTCTGAGCTCGTTGCCCGCAGTGGCCGCTCTCATTCTGTGTCCCTCAGAACAGCAGCTCCTCCCTTTGCGTTTTATGGAAAACTGTCCTTTTCCCCAGGCTTCTGGATCTCTAGCACAACAAACCCTAACCTTGCTTTAAGTTAGGAGAAGAGGAAGCTGTATACCAAATTTGGTGTCCCTAACACTTACAGTTTAGAAGTTCTTGAACAAACTCGCAATCAGACACAGAGATAGACACCTCTAAAATACATGTTATGTTAAGTTACGCTATGATCTAAGAAGCGACCTTGAGCTTTAAGCAAAGAAATATAAAACTAAATTAGCTTTACAGCCAGATTATAAACAAAAATTATCTTAAGAACCATTGGTCAGTTTGATTGTTCAAGAATTTCCTTTTATGCTGAAAGCAATAAAGACATCTTATGAGACCTAGACAGAGTAACTTAACTTTTCTGTGTCTCAGTATTTCCACATGTAAAATAGGAATGAGATTATATATTGTTTCTCAGGAGAATTGTGATTAAATAGTGTGTGTGCAATGTTGATATCTTTGAGGGAAGGAGTTACAGAAATGTGAATATAGTAAGGCCTATCTTAAAGAACCATTCAAGAGACTATCAAAAATCTACTGCTTTAAGTGAAATGATATCTTAATAATAATATAGAACTGTAATACAATTGTGAGAAGGCTGGGGTGGTTCCTAGCCAGAAAGTTGCTACTGGTTTGGCCATACAATAATATTATAGTAGCAACATAATTTTTCCTCGGGGTGTGTGAAGTAATGGGAGTGGAAGGAAGTGCAGCTCATCTCTTCTCTTCTGCTAAATGAAGAACAGATGGGAATTTCCAATCTCCTCTTGTCCCTGGCTGGGTAATCAGTTCTCACATAGCTCCCCTCTCCTGCTTCACAGATGTGATGAGAGCACTCTCTTCTGCTTTAATCTACTTTAAGCACTGCTTACAGCACACAAATCCCTTCATTAACATTGAATTAGGTATGTTTGCAAAATATGGCCTGCAGGATGTATCTAGCCCGCCAAGCCACTAGATCTGGCCTGGCTGCTTTTACTACACTTAAAATGCAGAGCAACAATGGTCCCAGAGCCAGAGGAAGCCCAGAGCTACTCCCACTGTGGCTCTGTAGAACGCCTCCACTTGTCAACTAATTGTGTAGTCAATACAAATTGTATCGACTACACGATTAGCTAAATACCTGTTCCTTAACATCCTTAGTATGCAGAAGCAGAACAATATGTTCTATTGTTACACCACTCGTATAAGTGATAATATCACAGTGAAAATAGTATAGGATTAGTTTAGCCTTTGCAAAAAGCAAAACTTACTTGACTCTTCCCACAGCGTCCTGGGACTAGGAGCACTTCCCCAGACTCCACTTGCTTCAGGGTTGGTAGCCCTCAGTCTGGGGTCTGTATTTCTCAATATGTGAACAAGAGTCAGGACTTGGCAGCCACTTTTCCATGAGTGGCGACAGTAGGGTCTGACAAGGTACACATATACATTTTAACACATAAGCTTCAGCTCCTTTTACTTCTCCATCATATGATGCTCCTGTTGCTACACACTGAGCAGCCCTGAAAACTGTAGGAATACACATTAGCTGGGAGATCTGCTCCTTGTAGGCTCCAAAGGCCCATGGCTTACAATTAACTGTTGAGGGGCAATACTGAGTTTAGGATAGTTCTTAGTTTCTTTGAGAAGTTCATTGCACAGCCAGGGACCAGCTCTGCAATAGTAATTACAGTAATTTAGCCTCTGAGCTAGGGGAAAAGGTCCACATTAGAATCAAGGATATGATCTCCTCTTTTACTCCCTATCTCTGGGGGAGTTCAGATTCGGATCTGAATGAATTAAGATCTAAACTTACCAGGTCAAGTTCACCAAGCCCCTCTAATAAATACTGAAGGGCAAGGCAGAGTGGCTGTATCCTATTAAACGTTCTTCGCTGCATTTCCAGCAGCAGCCTGCAGAGGGGCCCCGGCCGCAACAATCCCCCATTTATTTTTTTCGAGGCATGAGTAACCAGGCCACTGCGCACGCGCCCTCTCTTTTCGGCCCGACGTAGAGCTCCTGGCACTTCCGCGCGAGCGTGATTACGTCAGCCGCAGTCTCGCTCTAGGAATGTTAACGGCGCGATTTTTCAAAATGGTGGTGTGGGGGGAAGGCGGTCCCCGCCGGGCCCTGGCGCAATCCCCCATTTATTTTTTTCGAGGCATGAGTAACCAGGCCACTGCGCACGCGCCCTCTCTTTTCGGCCCGACGTAGAGCTCCTGGCACTTCCGCGCGAGCGTGATTACGTCAGCCGCAGTCTCGCTCTAGGAATGTTAACGGCGCGATTTTTCAAAATGGTGGTGTGGGGGGAAGGCGGTCCCCGCCGGGCCCTGGCGCGGGGAAGGAGCGGCCTGGGGCGCGGCGGGCAGAGGGCGCGGCCATAATGGGGCGCCGCGGCCGCGCTTCGGAGGGGAAATCATAGCGAGGACGCGGGGGGAGCGGCCTGCACGATGGCGACCTGCATCGGCGAGAAGATAGAGGTGCGGACCCGACCATCCCCGGCGTGGGGGGAGGGGCCGAGACCGATTCCTCCGGGATGGGAAGCTCCGAGCAGCAGCCCCGCCCACTCTGCTACCTGCTGGGGTGGTGCCCCTCCCCCCGCCCCACGCTAGGGGACTGGTGCCCTGGCAGTGCTATGAGGGCTCAGGGCCTGTGGCCTCTTCCCACGGAAGCGCCCTGGCGCAGAGGACGCAGATAGGGTCATTGCCCCCCCCCCCCCCCCTGGCAGCATGAACACTGGCAGGTGGCACGTGCCAGTTCAGTAGCAACGCCTGCTCTCTCCCCTAGCCTAGTATTTCTGGTGCCGCCTGCTCTGAGACCAAACTACCACCCAGATGGTTTCTGCTGCCCCTGGGGATGCTCACCTGATTGCTCTGCTGTCCAGACACCGCTTGACTCGGGCAGCTTCTGTCGCTCAGTGACCGCAAGCCCTGCTGCAGTGCACCAGACGTTTCTTACTCCACTGTTAATTGCATGCAAAATGCAGGACAATGTAGCACTTTAAAGACTAACTACCCCAGACTAACACGGCTATATTTCTATCACTATTCTTAATTGCATGCGTTTCAGAAACCCTGACGGCTGCGGTCTCTGGCAATTGGGCGGTATATAAATCAGTTATTTCATACAGCAAAGAGAAGGCAAAGCTCAAGATGCTATTGCATTAGATAGATTCAGGCAAGGGTATTTAGAAGTTATTCTGTTACCAGTCTACTGGATGGACGCTGTCTTCTACACGTACTCTTTGCTGAGTCATGATTCTGGCTGTGAGCATTGGAAGTTTTGTGCGAATTAGAAAATCGAGGTGTTGGAAGCTGGAGGTCCATGTATTTTGCAGATGAGGGCCAAAGACTGTAACACACTTTCCCATAGAAATTCTCACCCTTAACGGGTGAGTCACTGTTTGATGACAGTCTTTTCTTGCTAGCTATGGGTGTGCCATAATACCATACATCCCAGTCAGCACTAATACTACTTCACTGTTCATATAAAAATATTTTATATTGGGGCCTTCTGCCTTGAGAGTAAGGCAGCCAGGTGCTAGTTAGCAAAGTTGTCCCTTTAACTATGTTGTAGCCAGATCGACGGTAGTGAAGGGATATCATTAAGGCCTGGGTTAGAACCCTAGAAAGTGAAAACGTGCTTGGGATCCGCCTTCACTACACTTACGTTACATTGGACTCAGCCCTTTAGGGTACAGGGTTTTGCGGTATGCTATGGCTGAGTGTCTGTAGCTGACAAGGGGTTGTTTTCGGTAGAGGGTGGTTGCAAAATTTGAGGTTGGTCTCCCTGGTGCTCTAGGGACAGGGGAGGCCAACTGTTTGATCATCTGTTTCTTTGTAAACCTTGGCCAGGGCACTCGAGTGTGTGTGTGTGGGGGGGGGGGGGGGGCTTCTTTCCCCTTCTCTCTGCCGCGCACATCTGTTGCCATCTCGCTTCAGTTTTCCCACAGGAGCCCCGTAGTCACAGGTGCTCAGGGCCTCTATAGTGCCGGTTTGTAGGGCGGAGCACCCCCAACGGGAAGCGAGCTGCCCGCGCGGAGGCCGGGACGGGTCAGGGCGGGGAGCATCCCTTTGCGGTCGCTAAGGGCTGTCCGGCGGGACGATGGGAAGTGGTGAATCTGCCGCCGCGGCTATGGCAG